GAATTATATTTAAATTGCTACTGCTACACTACTATTTTTTTAAAAAAATGATACCACTACTATATTGTTACTATAATACTACTACATTGCTACTACATTGTTAAAAAATGATCACTTTCAGTAAAGTTTATATTAAATTTAATAGGTGGAGTATACTCCACCATCATTTTTAATAGTACTCTGAACCTTTTTACAATTCTATTTGATTTCAATTTTCAAAACCATATTTTCAACTTTATTAGTTTGTTTAATGGCTCAGGATACTTAAGTATTTTAACAATTATTCATCTCAAACAAGCTCAAATTCAATAATAGAAACCTACAAACATACTTATAAAACAAACAATACAAAAACAACTGAAAACAAACTTGCCAACAGCAATTCTCAAAGTTGCAAACAGCATAGAAATAATATATCTTGACTTCAAATGATTAGATAATTTTTAATGGAAAGAAAAAGTCTATTCAATAAAAACATTATTAAATAATTGAACAATATATAATAAAGTAGTTCAATTTATAAAAAAACATAATATCATGTTTAATAATCAACTTATAGAAACAGAAACTAATATTTTATTGAATTGGAAGTTAATTCAATTTATGTATAGTCACAATAGAGAACCTAAATTCTTTTGATATACAAAAGTTCAAGAATATATAGTTAACAAATTTGAAGTTCTCAATTTAGATTGATAGAATAAAGAATGGATATATCAAAATAGAAATATTTTTTTTCAAATATTTCAACAAGATGCAAAAAAATGAAAATAACATATAATTAAAAAACAAGAACATTTTTATTTAATACAAAAACAAGTTGCCAACTTAACAAGACAAGAAACAAAAGTCTTACAAGTAGCTAGTACAAGTACCAGTTCAATAAAGCTTATAAAAACAGGTTCAAGTTCAACAAATTCCTTCAAAAACAAATTATTCTTATTATTCAGTTGAATTAACAAGATCTTCAAACTAAGAAAAGGCAAAAAATCACATATTTCTCTAGAAATTTATATACTTGAAAGCCTTGCTAAATTAGATCTCACATCTAAAACAAATTTAGAGTCCAATATGTTCAAATTCACAGGAATTAAAATAATCGATTATGAAATTCAGATTATACAAGAAAATATTGAAACTCTTGAAGTAAGTCAAGAATAAAGAATAGAATACAAGCTTAACAAAAATAGTCAATATCAAGAAATATATCAATTCTACATTGATGAATTAGTAGATAAAACTTGAAATCAAATAGTTAAAATAAATGCAGTTTGGCTTTAGATCAAATGATCTTATCTAGAAAGAACTTTTCAAATAGGAATAAACAACTAATCATTACCAGCAAAAGTGGAATTTATAACAATCTTCTTGACAATTTTAACAGTATTCAATTGAAGTAAAGTAGAAATTTGAATAACTAGTACCAATTGTATTAATATATATCAGAAGTTAAAAGATTCCTATCCAAAAAAATACTATTAAAAGGAAAATAAAAATGCCTAACTGCGCTTTGGATGCATATTTTAAATGCAATCTCAAAAAAAAATTCAAGTAATACTGACCAAAGTCAAGGTATATGATTAAGATATTATTAATAATTAAGTTAACTAGTTAGTCAAGGCAAATCAACAAGAGAAGAGCAAGAGATTTCTTGGAAAGAACTATTCCAATCTTAATTTCTTCTAGAATTGTATTTAAATTGACACCTCAAGATTATTCATCAAAGACCTAAATAAAAGAAAAATACTGTACTAATCCAATGGACTAACCAAAGTAGAATCCAATTAAGGTGAAAAAGAGATTCAAAATTCAAAAGAAATGGATTGAAAAGAATTTGAAACTATTGCAAAGGGAAAAACACATTTAACATCTCATTAAATAAATGAAAGACAGAATGTTCAAAATCAAGTTTATCTATAATAAACTTTTCACACTGGATAACATATCCAAATATAATATGACAAGTTACAATGGATATATAAAGAATATATTTTGCAAAGTAGAAAATGAAACATTAGATCATTTTTTAATATATAAAGAAACAAGAATTCACAAAGAAAGAATATGAATATTGTTATAAAAAAAGCTTTTAAAAATATAAATTTCTAAATATTTTATTTTTGATTTACCAAAACAAAAAAAAATCATCTAATTTTTAGATTAATGGAAAAAGAGAAACATCAAATTAGCTAAAGAAATAATTAATCTAAGTATAGGTTTATAGAAAAAAAAGACATCTTGAACTGAAAAACAAGTCTCTGAATTGTAAGGATCTCTTATACTTATGCATACAAACTGTTAATCAAGATATTCAAGATATGGTGCAAGCTTTTCAGGCAATATATATAGAATCCAAAATGTAAAAAAGTTCAAGAATACAAGCAATCCCAAGTTATGGATCTGGAAAAGAAAAAAAGAAAGAAATAGATAATTCAATACCACCAAAATCACTAAGATTACAAAACTTATTTAAGTGCAAAGAAACTGACAAATCACAGAAAAAGGAAAAAGAACCATCTATGAATTATTATCCATTATTCTCAAGTTACAATTACAAGAAAACCAGCCAAGTAAATTTATCAGATAACAAAAGAAAAGAAGAGAAACTTATGGAAAACTCAAAAATCTTGTGGAATAAGATTAAAGAAGAAAAAAAATGACTAGGAATATAAAATGTAATTAAAATTTTGAAAAAAAAACAAATTGTAGTAATGAACTGCAGGCTATGACTTCAAAATATATTTTGAGACAAGTATATGAGAACAAGCAAATTTTTTTATATTCAAGATCATATCTAGAGATAATTTTATCTAAGATGGATATTCAAGTATTATATTCAAAAGTTTGTGTATAAAAGTTGTAAAACCAATATGTATTCTATATTAAGATTAAATAACTTCATAAATACTTGTTTGATTATGAGAAAAAAAAATTAATATTAGATATATTATTAAAAATAATTTTTCCAAAATATAATATTTTAAAAATTTTGCTTATAAAATATTGTTTTATTAATAGTTCATATAATATTTAAGCTTATCTAATCCTTATATTTTTTATATTCTATAATTAATATAAGTTATAGGAAATTTGAAATATATTACAAATAATGCATCAATTTATGCATCATTTAATTTGTATAACACATCACAGCTAAAAAAACATATCTACCCTATACATAAATTAATAATATTATTAAAAAATTTTATAATTCTGAATTAAATACAATTTCCAATTATTCATTATATATTACTTAATAACTTTATCATATGGTTATTGAAAAAATATTTGAATTCAATTTCACCACATGTATAATATATCCTACTATAAATAACAATGACATGAAGCCAATAAAATAATAATTATACTTGTGCAATATCCTAATAAAGTAAATTGTAATTAATAAACCTACCTTAACCAGTGATAGTTAGTCAAAAGGATAATCCATAAGGCCACAAAGATCTGTGACACAATTATTGAGGATGAAGATCTAATGAGCAAGGTAATTTGTGAACCAGAGGAAGATTGGCCCTCTGACTAATGGTAGCATTACACGAGCACTGTCTGGTTTAGTGACAAACTCAACGCTTCACCCCCAACAATACATACGGCAATCACCCGATCAAGATTAATAATGTGTCGTTCTATATCTGGGATAACCAGGATGCGCATAACTTGGTACTAGATTATGTGCTGATAAATAACGCGTAATAATCAGATGTATTATAGGAAAAAATATTCAATCAATTTTTGAATATAATAGATTTATTTTTCATTGTTTGAAATGTTACAATCTAAACTATTCCAAGTATGAGAATAAAGTAGATCGTTGCGATGATGATCCAGGACGCGAGAATGGTGGATACTATTTCTCGGTATATGCTTCTGCACACATTTTAGCCTTCTTCGGAGTTGATAAACATGGATATACTCGGTCCTCATTTTTGTCTAGAGGTCGTTTTCGAAACCCAGCCATTTTATATGATTCGACTGTTTGTTTTTTTGCTCGAACCGTCTTTATTATCTCTTGAATAACAGCCTAACATTAATAAATACATCAACTTATATTAGTAAAGATATATAATCATTAGGTGAGAAGCATGAATTTAACTAACCTTTATGTTCAGAACAGATGCAAGAATTGTGAGGATGTAAGGAAAATTTTCTGCATTATCCGGAACTTCCATTAGTTCACCACGTTGCACCCTACAGATGTATCCTTTTGGGTTATCCAGGAAGACCGTCATAATCATCAAACCTATAAATTATATTAGCTAACAGCGAGAACCTGATGGATTCTTAAAGACATAAGGACATACCAGCGTGAATTATTCCAACCGTTTGAATTTTTGCGCGACTTTCTTCATCCCAACCTGCCTTCTCCATCAATTTTACTAACTTATCCTTGAGTGTCTTAGGTAGCTTTAATCCCGCCTCTTTGAGAAACTTCGATCCATTTTCATTCACCCAACTTTTCCCGACTTTTCTAGCTCCATTTTTTCGTGACGCCGATGCCAGGCTTGTACATTCCCCTCTAAATCGTTAATAGAAGCTTGTTAGATATATCAAAGCAAACTATATTTTTTTAGAAAGTTACCTGACGATGGATATCGCATTTATATCTCCAAAAGCTTTATCGAAGATCACATTCCACACGTGGCAATTAAACCAAGCTTCAATATTTGCGTCTTTCAAGCTTCCACTTTGAATTTCTCTCACACTATAAAAACAGATTTGGTCAATTCATCATTGATGCAAAGGACTATAATAATATCTACATCATGTGCAATCCACAGAAATACTTACAATGAATATAAAGCATAGATTATGTAATCCTTATCATGATCTTTTTCATGATCATATTTATCGTCAAACATCATTTCCTTTATGAACTTTCGAATCTCCGCCAAGCTCGTCTACGACAGGAAAAGATATTGATAAATCGTCGCGGTACATATATCTTCGTCAGTAACATATAAATGAAGTCTTACCTTGTCAGCGAATTTGTTTAGAAATCCAGCGATTTCTTCTGAGAGCTCATATACCTGTGGGCCAGGGGCGCAATCAATTTCATCTAGTTCTGCCTCGTTGAAATGCTGACGAATTATCTCGTCATCGACATCCAAAATAAAGGAATGAACGGCACTAGGAAATAAAAACGGCAATTTAATACAATTTTGTTTTCCATAATATAGTTACTACCGAAAATCTACTTATATAAACACTGACTGCTCAAATCTTAACTTCTTTCCTAATTCGAATAATTCTTCCTCGACATATTTTCCTGTTGAAAGTCTCCACATTCTATCCTTTTTCATACCATTAAATGTCTGCTCGATCATCTGTCGGTGTTTCTCAGTGAGGGGATATGGATCAGTCTACGTGGCTATGTGTTAATTTTGTCAAATATCAAGAACTAGAATTTACGAAAAAACTTCCTTTTTTATTTTTTACATAATCTTTGTTGTAATCGTCAGATAAATTGGAGGCTAATTCATGATCACTTACTTTTTTTTCAGCTCGACGTTGATTTTGTTCTGGTTGATATATTTGGTGCTCAGGTGATCGTGGTGGTTCATTATTTACTTTTTCGATTTGGGAATGCCATTTATTTGTAGTGGAAATAACTATATCTGAACTGGAGAACCTTGCTTCATTAAGGACTTTGACACCTTCTATTACATAATTTTTCGCGGCATTTCTCTATTTTTTTGCCGGGATAAATAGAGATGGAACATAGTTAGTATCAATAAAGAATTATTTGATAATATTTCTGTGTTAAAAATACTAATATTATAATGCCGCAAAACTGTACTAACCTTTTCACGTTCAAGAATAATATCTTGAAAAAATGGTTTCATTTGCCGACGTTCATTATCATTATCCTGTTAACGAATCGCAATGAGGGAGCACCGAAAATTTCAGCAAACTATCTAACCCTTTTCACGTTCAAGAATAATATCTTGAAAAAACTTTTCAATTGCTAATATTATTGATGTTTATTATCTTTATCCTGTTAATGAATCGCAATTCGCAATGAGAGAGCACCGAAAACTTCAGCAAAACCTCTGGATCGTACTATATCATAAGATATAATTACAACCTAGAAGCGCATCATACTCATCACTTGGGCACCGAAAATTTCAGTAAAACCTCCGGATCGTACTATATCATAAGATATAATTACAACCCAGAAGCGCCCTTACACCTGATGTTAAATTCAAAAAGAAGCTTTTTGGAAGTTACCTTGGCATAATAAATATACCTGTTATACCATGTACCATCTAAACCGCTCCAGTCTTCAGGTGGTGAATCAATGATTATTTCTCTTAATTCATTTAAAAAATGTTCATAATTCCATGTTTTTCTATTGTGAGTTTCAAAATATTTTAAAACAGCTAGGAAATCCAATAAAGAGGGTCTGTTTATCACTGAGAACAAGTCTGCAAAATTCAAATGCTTAACGAACTTACCGTTGCTTCCAACATAGAATTCAGTCATTGCTTTTAGGTACGTTCTAAAGAAAAAAATTTTTTAGTGTGCAGGGATTTATTACCAAAAATAAGTGTCAAGTGAAATTTCCGGATCACGAAAACTCCAGCATAAATTAAAAAAACAGTATTTCATTGGTTGCATGCAAAATCGTCACGTAGTGAAAAATTCGAAATATTACGCGAAATTTGTGAAAATTGCCAGTCTGACAAAGTTTCGCAGAACCAATATTGTTTCAATATAATCCAACTTAAACTAATAGAATAAAAAAAATCATTTAATTATATACAGTATATTTTTTATTTTAATAAATTTTAAAAATTTAAATATGTTATTTGTTAAATAAAGAAAAAATTGTAAATAATAAAGATTCAATAAAGTCTTTTTCATTTGTTAATAAAATAAATTTATCAATAGTTATTTTTAATTCATTATAAAAATTATTTTCATTTGAATTAATATTATCTAATATTTTATTATTATTTATCTTTTCAATATCAATAATATTATCTTCAATTTTATTATTATTTCCAACATAATTATTTTTATAATTATTTTCTTTCAAAAGTTAATTAAAAATTAAAAAATTATTGATTTTTCAATTGATAATTACATTAGAATCTAATAAATTATTAACCATAAAATAATATATATGTCAATATATTAAAGCTTTTTTTTTGTATAGTTAAACAAATACATATTGTTTATTAAATCTTTATAAAAAAGAAATAATATATAATATAAACATATAACATATATTCAAACATTCAATAGCTTTAGAAGAAACCAATCAAATTATCAAACAAACCAATCTTATTCTTCATCCCAATGGTGACTCAAAACTGATAACCCATATATGACAGATTATAAAGTTAACATGTAGTATTATTGACAACATCTTCTCTCTATCAGACTTTAACAACTAGGCACAAGTATCAACTGAAGCCCTAATATAACTATATAATACCATATGGAAATTATGATATGTCATAGCCAACACTTCTCCACAAAATGATATAAAATAGAAAGAAAATCTCCTATCAATATAATCAAAAACAATTAAACAACTTTCAAATCAAATTTGCAAAAATTCTTATTAATATAAGAATCAATAATAATAGTTACTTTAGTTGCAGATATTTATATTTAAAACAACTTTAACTTTTTTAAATGTATTATCAAACTAATCCAAAGCTATATCAATTTTATTTCCTTCAATATTGAGTAGATAAATATAGTCATTCAATACCTTTTGACAAAATATATTGTTTTAAAATTTATTTTTAATATTAGTTATTTGGTCTTTGTATATAGGTTAGTATTAAACTTATTGTACTTACAGATAAGAGATGTTGTTTCTTTCACAATATATACTTTTAATATACAAATCAAATAAAGAAATAATGTTTACTTACAAAAAAAAAAAAAATAATAATAATATATAATACATTATATTACATAAACTATTCTATTGCCTTACATATTTGTTTTAAATATAATTTAAAAATAAAAAAAGTTATTTTCTTTAATATCTATTTACTTATAAAAATTTTTTAAACTATACAATAGTTATACAGTATATTGTTTTAGAAAAATTAGATATAAAAATAATTTTTTTTATAGCAAAGTAAAATATATTATTAAAAATAATCAATAAATTTTATTTAAATCTTTATTTAATATTGGAAATATTATATATTAAAATTATCAATTTATTTAATTATAAGTAATATATTGTTTTATTAATTATAAAATAAATTATATAAAATAATAATTTTGCCTAAAAAAATATAATATTAAAATATTTTAAAATTTAATAAAAAAAATTATAATTACAAAATAATAATAATAATATATAGAAAAAATATAATATTTTATTTATTAATTAAATTAACTTAAGCAAATATATTTGTTTTATTAAAATTGATTTTTTTTTACTTTTATTAAATTATATATTATATACAGTATATTTATCAATTATTTATAATTTTTATTTTAATATAATTATTATAATCTTAAGAAATAAAAAATTATTATTATTTTAAAGAAAAAAAAAGAAAGAAAAAGTAAAAAAAGTAATTTATATGGATTTTGACTCTGCCACCTTCTTACATATTTGAGAAAAATTACTACAAAGTTATTTTCTCATCTCAATCTTCAACTTCTATCCACATCAAAAACTATGACCAGCTTACCCCCTCCAAAAGATCAGTGCAAGATGATCATACCATATTGGGAACAAGGCCCTCAATATGGATAGACACACAGGCCATATCACAACAACAAGCTGGTTCCTGGGTCCAGTAATTACAAAAACCAATTCTTCTAATTATGTCCCCCCATCCATGATTAACTATATAGTGAGTGCA